AAATTCTAAATTTAAATTATTTAGATTCTGTACAGTCCACCCATTTAAAGTATACAGTTCAGTGGGTTTTTTTGGTATATTCAGAGTTATATAACCACCACCACAATCAATTTCAGAATATATCATCACCCCAAAAGGAACCCCCACACCCGTTTTCCCATTGACCCCCCTCTTTTTCCTCCGCCCTCTAGTCCTAAGCAAACACTAATCTACTTTCTGTCTCTGTGGATTTGCCCTCTGTGGACATTGCCTACAACTGGAGCCACACAATAAATGGCCTTTGAGACTGGCTTCTTGCACTTAGCATAGCGTTTTCAAGATTTCATTGCTTTTTATGGCCGAGTAATATTCCATTTGTGAATAGTCTTCATTTCGTTTATCCATTCATCAATGAATGGACGTTTGGATGATTTTCATTTTTTGGCTATTATGGATTGTGCTGCCATGAACATTTGTGTACAAGTTTTTCAGTGGGTGTAGACTTCCATTTCTTTTGGGTACATACCTAGGAATGAGATGGAAGGGTCATATGTAACCACTGTGTGTTTAAGCTTTTGAGGAACTGCCAGACTGTTTTCCAAAGTGGCCTCACCATTTTACATACCTATTAGCAGTGTATGAGGGTTCCAGCTTCCCTTCGTCTTGGCCAATACTTGTTGTTGTCAGCCCTTTTGATTCTAGATATCTTAGTGCGTGTGAACTGATACCTTGTTGTGATTTTGATTTGCATTTCCTTGATGGCTAATAATGCTGAGCATCTTTCTTATGTGCGTATTGGCCATTGGTATAACCTTCTTTGGAGAAATGTCTCTCCATATCCTTTGTCCATTTTTAATTGGTTTGTCTTTTGTCGTTGAGTTTTAGGAGTTCTTTATATATTCTAGATACAAGTCCCTTATCAGATATGTAATTTGCAAATATTTTCTCCCATTCTGAGGGTTATCTTTTTACTTTTTTGATGGTGTTCTCTGAAGCACAAATGTTTTTAACTTTGATGGAAGTCCAATGAACTGCATACCTGTAAGCTGCTGTTCATTTCCAGGCATATTCTATTGCTAAAACCGAAAGGATTAGTTTGACATTCTGTTTGAGAGCCCTGGGCTTGGTAGAGCAGTTGTTCTGTGATATTTATCTATAACAAGCCCCTGATTGCTTTCCTGCGTAGGGAGGTTAACGGTGGCTGGGGGGATGGTGCAATGCAAATCTTTACACAGTTCATGAGTGAAGGAACACTTGAATGTCACCTTCCCTGTCCTGTTGCTTCTTTCTCCTTTCTTGGGGCAGTGGCATTTGTCATCTGGGACACTTCTCCTTCCAGTCAGGGTGGTGTCTTTGGAACGGTTCAAGCTGTAAAACCCAGTTCATCTGTGACTGTTGACATTTGAGTCAGGCTTTTTCGGAGTGAAAGATGTTGGATCTGCTGGTCGGTCTCTGAGATGGGCCCTGTGTGCAGAAGGAGAGGATGGGAAAAGAGGGTCTGTCCGGATGATCCACTGATCTACTCGGACTTACGCCTCGGTAACTGAGAACTTTGCAGGTTTATCATCATTTCTTTTTAGTCTGTTGGATCTCGTTTTCCGCTTTGGGAATGAGAGTACGATACCACAGAATGACAATTGTGAGAAAAGACCAACCAGCATCTTAGGAGCTACGGACCGGGAACCGGGAACTTACGGCTATTTGATGGAATTAAAATTCGAGCAAGTTCTAGATGTTGACGATCTGATGAGCACTTCTGCCTGTGGGCCCCCGGGCTTGAGCTGGCATTTCCGGGGCCTGTAGTGCCTGTCCCACACTCCTCTGTTCCCACCGAACTTTGACGTATTTGTTTCAGGGCTGGGCAAAGATTTTTCCATGAGGGCAAATCTTCCATGGATGCTTGGTGCTTCTTGGCTCCTTTTCGCAAAGCCAGTGGTGCTTTATCTCTTCTGTCCATTGATTGCACTTGGATTCAGATTCGTCTTGTTTTTCTAAGGTTCTAAGTCATGACTGAGGGAAAAAAAGAGCTATTTGCCTTGGCATCTTCACAGAGGCCAGTGTGACCTCGTAGCTCTCTTTTTTTTTATTTTATTATTTTTTATGGCACAGTTATTTCATGTCTGTAGTAGAACATGTGAAAATAGAGATAAGAAAAAAAGTAAACCATAATCTTCCTAGAGGTGTAGCCACTGTTAATATCTCACTGATCAGCCTTCTAGACTACTTCAGAGGATGCATGCTGCAAAATACAAACACGTTTATATCAATACATCACGAGACACAGAGGAGCCTCAATCTAGTTCGAGTGAAATCTTTCAGAAAGCCGTTCCGTTTCCAAATCCCTGTAGGATTCGACGGAGACTTGGCTGGCTCTAGAATCGTGCCTTTGAAATTCAATATCGATAAAACATTGCCAGTCTAGGCAAGGTCAGTTTATGGAATACATATAGAAACCAGTATTCATTTGACTTGAGAGCTGCTGGAGTAATTTCTACCAGTTGGCGTAGGATTCGTTTCCTGTAACACAAAGCAGGATTTCCTAAATTTGTTTCCTGTGCATATTCCGCTTTGGGAGCCTTGAAGTATCTTCATTCAGCTATCGATTACAGCCCGAGGGGCTGGGCCCTGCCTGCCCGGTACAGTAACTCGTTGGGGAAACGAAATAGATGTAATCTGACCACTGACCAGAAAGGAGCGCGGCTCAGAGGCTGCGCAGGCGGGTCTCGGCCCTGACAGCGTGCCACCGTTTCCAGGATATTCGGCAGCCTTGGGGGTGGGTACAGTGGGGGAGGGAGTGGGGAGGGGTCACGACGATGATGCAGCTTTTAAAGCAGTTATTTCCCGGTGTGAATGGGCAAGAAGATGCTGTCTGGCGAGCTGCTAGAGTCAATCCTACGACTCATTCATTTGTCTTTTCCATGAGTTCTTTCATATTAAAAAAACTTTCGTAAGCTTTTAAAATCACAGGTATTAATATCCTCACTACAGGAAAAAGTAGAAAGTGTAGATTCACAAAAAAGTTGATAAAAATAACCTGTAATTCTTACCAGCTAGTGATAACTACTGTTTATATTCTGGTATGGATTTTCCCAGATTTTTCCTAAATTCGTGCGTATATATGTATAGAAACAATTGTAGTACAGAATCATACTGTAGTACATGTCATTAAACAGGAAGGAAGGTAAATTAAGTAACATCCTTTAGAAAGTCATATGGCTTTTATATTTCTGTAGGATTTATGAGTGTGGATATGGATGCATGTGCAGGCACATGTGATGTATGTGCACATGTGCTCTGTGTGTGCATACATGGGTGCACATGTGTGTGTGTGTAAATGAAAGCTGCTGGCTGTATTTGGCCTTGCCTTGAATGGCTCAGTATTTCAGAGCAATGAGTGGTGAGTCCTAGGTAACATGTAGAGTGTTCTGCGTGGCCCCCACAGACTCATGGCGGAGAGTTAGAAGTCCATCTCCTCCTTCCCTAAGACTTCAGTTCTCCTAAGTCTCTTCCTCTGAGGCACCCGCTGTTATTAATGTCTAAGTATCCTTGCAGAGTTACTTCTTTGCATGTGTTAGAATTTCCTTTGTCCTTTATTAAAATATTAAAAAAATTTAAAAACAGTTGTAATTTAATACAATTATGAATTGTTTTGCAACTTGCTTTTAGTAAGTCATTTTTAAAAAGTGTGCCCATTTTGCAGATGAAGTATTAATATTAATATCAGTTGGCTAAGAAACGTTCCCAAGGTCACATTGCTGGCAAGGTCGAAGCCGGATAGCCCATGTCCAGAGTCTGGACTTATTACCCTTAATAGCACTTCCCCACCCATGGGACGATGGCTCGAAAGTGCTTCGTGAACTCACGAAGCGCACAGAGAGTTCCAGAGCCTGCATTTCGGGAACGCAGGGCTGACACTGGGTGACGTTCCGTGGTCTCTGGTTATCCCTGGCTGCTCTAGTCTCCCTGAGCGTCCTGTTCTGAGCTAGTGTTCAGAGACTACCTGTCTCCCAAGTTCAGTGGAACGTTGTGTCTCTTCTCTCTTATCTTGGGAAGCTTCCAAGCTTGGTGAAAATAAACCTTCCTCTCCCAGACCCTGGCAGCCTATCTTCTGAGTGTCCTCCTTGTACCACCCCGTCTCTCTAGGATTCTTCCCTTGGAAAGGAAAACTAAAATGAGTGGATCGCACTTAACATAACGACTGCCAGTTCCATCCACGTTGCTCCACGTGACGGAACTGAATTCTTTTGTGCGGTTGAATAGTATTCCATCGTGTCTGTCTGCCACGTTTTCTTTATCCATTCATCCGCCGATGGGCACTTAGGTTGATTGTGAATAGTGCTGCCATAAACACAAGGGTGCAGATATCCTTTTGATATACTGATTTCCTGTAGGTGATAGACATCCTACATACCCAGATTTGATCATTATATGTTGCATGCATGTATCAAAATATCACATATACCCCATAAATAGGTATAATTATTATATGACAAGAAAAAAAATGAGTGTGTCTTTCCTCTAGTCCACAATGTCCTTGAAACAGTCCTGTTACAAAGGGCCGTGGAGAGCTGGACAAGAAGCCGTGTGGGTGGGTCTCTCCCGCGACAGAGCCCGTGGACGGAGGCCTCTCTGCAGCCACCTGGAATCTCAGCCTCCGGGCAGTGACACAGGGAGGGCAGGAAAGTACAGCTAATCTAGATACAGCTGATCTAGAAGCACGTTTTAGTTTCAGTTTTGCCCCTAATTGTAAGAGTAACACAAACTTGTTATAGAGAAGGTAAAAAGAATTAGAGGAAAAAAAATAAAATCATCCATAACCCCAAAACTCAGCCATAATCACTGTTAACATTTTGATGTTTTCCCTTCCTGCGTTCTACACATATAAATACTTAGTGTCATTCCATATTTTATCTCTATTCACTTAGCAAGGTATCGTATTATCCCTTTTCAATAACTATCTGTGATAAGAAGGTTTTTAGTGGCTGCACTCTATTCCGCTGCTTAGATACACCACAGATGATTGATTCTATTTCCCTTAAGATTTAGGAGGTTTCCCGCTTTGGGCCATCATAAATGATGCCACGATGCACTGCCTGATGTATTTATTAACCATCTCTCGCGTTTCTGATTGTGTATGTAAAAAGTCCCAGCTGTCTCATTTTGCATCTTCTTAAACGTGTTGCTGAGACTGAGGGTAAAAGCCACCGAGGAACTCGAGCATGTGGTGCAGAGAAGGGCTGGTGATCTCGTGGTCCTTTTGCGGCTGTGAGGGTTTTTTTGTTCTGCAACCACATTCGTATCTCAGTGAACATAAGGTGTTTGCAGCTCCCCTAAATGCCTCGGCGTACCCTGAGCCTCAGCATTAGGCCCGGACAGTGACGGCATTCAGACACGTGCATGAATGAGCCCAGGGTGGTGAGTCCCAGAGATTTAGGAGGCTAGTGGGGCTTTACTATCACCTGGCCATGCCCTCCAACCCAAAGGGTAGGGTCATAGGACAGAGGTCAGGAACTGTAGGGAAAACTGCCCCATCAATGTTACTTATTAACCACTGAGGTAGAGTCTTGAAATAGGATTTTGGTTATTCAGAATAGAGGGGGGCTGTTTGAGACAGGACTGGACAGTGTTTTGGGAACGCTGCAGAAAGCTGTCACATGAGCCTTTCTCAGTGTTAGCTCCTCCACGGGCCAAAAATGCAGAATTTCTGTCCATGTCATATTACTGTTCGCCTGGAATGGACTGAGATGAATAGTCATTTCTAAATGACTGCATTTGTAGGGAGACGATGCCATTCTTTCTTCCTAAATATTAATTTTTATCAAAGTTAAGTGATAATGAGGTTGAATTTCAAGCACAGAAAATCTGAATCGAGGAGTGGCCTTCTGTGCCACCATCCCATCCACTAATTCCTAGAAGGCTGTTAAAAAAATAAAGTTGAAGCAATATTGAAAAATCACCTAATTTTGTAAAAAAATCAGCTTTTCTTGAGAAAGATTAGCTTTGAAAATAGCGGGCCCAATTTCTACCTGGCAGTGCTTGATCAAGGTTGTTGGCTGCTGACTCAGTTTACCCCGGACCCCTGCATGGCTTGCCCAACTCCTTTTGGCACTGGAGCCTGCAACCACCATCTGGCATGTTGTTGAATATATTTTCTTATTGAGTAAAGAAAACCTTAGGTCTATGGATAGATTTATGATCTTGAAAGGCTGGATTTTGCGCTGACTGGCTGCTCTTTGTGAGCCTGGGTATTTATCTTGTTGAATGCCACCAAAGAACCCCTTCTTATCAGATGTCAGATTCCCATCTTGGTATCATCGTGCTCTTGGGATTAGTGTGTATCCTGCTTTTGACAAGAATTCAAGGCTGCTAAGCATGGTCTGGCGTATTTTCCAAGCGCAGGGTCGAAGGAACAAAGGGAAAATGTCATAGGTGGTTTATTGCTGACCAACAAATGATGAAAAAGCCCTTTCGTGGATGGTTTCTGGCATGAGTTCTTCAGATGGGCCTTTTAGGAAGGGAAGGGAACGAGCTCTGCCTCTTCGATTTCTTCTTTTCACCAAAAGCAGAGCACACGGCAGACTCTCGAGACAAGATTCCCTCCCTGCCCCTTCTGCGTTCAGCATTTGAGCTAGTTCCCATCTAACTTACTTGTTCATTCATTCACCTGAATGAGGTTCCTTTTTCTGCTGCGGCCCTGACCTCGGGTGGTGGAGACCCTAACTCCGTCTGCTGAAAACGGTGGGACTCCACATCAGCGTGGGATGTGGAGCGATTCCTTTGAACCGAAGCTCGGGACTGCCAGAATCAGAAGTAGCCTGCTTTTGTAGCCTCTTGTTTTGGAGAGGAATGGAGTTTTCTTAACTGACCCCCAAATGTTCGTCTTGCCCACAACTGAGAAATGTTGCTGAGCACCCCAATTCTAGATCCATCTTCCCTGAGGAGGACTCCGGGGGATTTTATGTGTTCTGTTAGGAAGCAACTTTCCATCAATGCTGACGTTCAAGTCCTAAGAGTGGAAGGTGGGAGTGGAAGGCCCCTCGCAGGTTCGTGAACTGTTGGGTCAGCCCCCAGGACACTGATGACGTTTTGATTAGGAAGGTGGATCCCGGGAGTGCGGAGTGGCCACAGACGTAGCTGTCGTGGGTTCCTTAACTCCGCTGCCGGGGTTGCTGTGGCAGAAAGCAAGGTTCAGAGATGTTCACGTGCATTCGTAATCCATCCTTCCTCAGAGACGTGAGTCATTCTGGACCATTTCAGGTCTGCGGTTCAGCTTTTCCCCTCTAACAGACCTGTGGGGTCCATGGAAGCCACTTCCGGTTCTGGAATTCCAGATTCTTTCTCGATTGAAGTTCAGAGCAGGCTTTTGGGGAGTTAGTCTTCCGGAAGCCCAGTATCACACACTTGGGGGCAGAGCTGCCCAGGTGGGAGCCGCTGTCCGTGCTGTCCCGGTGCAGCCAGAGTGAGGCTGCGAGGACAGCCCGAAGGTGGAGGACTCTCCGGTGTCCTGCTCCTTCTTTCCTTTGCGCTGTTTGGCTCAGTGCAGATTCTTCCAGAAGTGATTTGTGGCCATGCCAGTCACTCTTAGTCCTGTGCAGTCGCTCTCTGCTGTGTGCAGCCTGCTTTGAGCCTGCACAGGGGCAGCTCTGAGTGTGGGAGTCCCCGCTGTCCCCAGGGACAGGGACTGCTGCACTGCACTTATCTGTGCCCCCTTCCGCCTTGTGCTCCTGCGCACACCCTGTGGACTGGGACCTTGGGCTGTGTGTCTGACCCGTGACCCTGTGTTCTGTTTAGGTGGCCCTGGTACAGTGGACCGAAAGCGTGGGCTTGACCCTGGTGGGCCGAGACCAGTCTTCCATGCAGCTGAGGACCCCTGGCGACCAGATCCTGAACTTCACCATCCTGCAGATCTTCCCCTTCACCTACGAGAGCAAGCGCATGGGCATCATCGTGAGGGTGAGTCGTCTTTTATCTGTCTTTATCTAACTATCTGTCTTATCTATCTTTGATCGTCTCAAGCGGGTTAAAGGCCCCGAGTACGCTGCCCGTGTCCCTGGCACTTGACGTTCTTTCTTACCCCTTTAGAACCCTCGTTATTGGGGTATCTGTCGCCCAGGCTAACCAGAGAATGCGATTCCCTAAGCGGAAAGGGAATCGGTTCTGGCATGAAAGTTCTAATGAATGTAGACTGACTGAGCCTTTCTTGGTAATACGTTTCTCATTCTTTTTTGTTTAATTAAGTGTTTATTTTTTATTGAGGTGAAAATCACATAGCATCAAATAACTAAACCGGACAATTCATGGCATTTAGTATGTTCACAGTGTTGTGCAAACACCACCTGTGTTCAGTTTTCAAAACGTTTTCATCACTCTAGAAGAAAACCGTGCGAGCCTTAAGCCGTCACTGCCCATTCCCATCCGACCCCGGGCCCTGGCAACCACCAGGCCGCTTTCTGTCTTTGTGGATGTACCTGTTCTGGACATGTCAGATAAATGGACTCATAGAGTACAGACCTTTTGTGTCTGGCTTCTCTCCCTTAGCGTAGCGTTTCCGAGGCTCGTCTGCGCTGCAGCGCGTAGCACACTTGACTCCTCTCTGTGGCCGGCTAGTGTGCGTGTGTGGATGGAGCACGTTTGCTTGTCCACTCATCCCCCGATAGACGTTTGTTCTGCTTCCACCTGCTGGCTATCGTGGGTAGTGCTGTCATGGCCATTGTGCACAAGAATTCCAGTACCCGTTTTCAATTCTTCTGGGTATATACTACGAGTGGAATTGGTGCGTTATGCTGGGTCCGTTACCCAGTTGCTGGAAAATTCCATCTTTAACTTTGTGAGGTCCTGCCACACTGTTTTCTGCAATGCTGCACCCTCTTATTAATACATTCCCACCAGCAATGTACAAAGGTTCCTATTTCGCCACAGCCTCGCCAATGCTTGTTATATTCTGTTTTTTTGATTATGGTTGTCCTAGTGGTTATGAGGGGTGGTATTTCATTGTGGTTTTGATTTGCATTTCCCCAGTGACTAATGATATTGAGCATCTTTTTATATGCTTATGGCCATTTGTATATCTTTCACGGAGAAATGTCTGTTCAGGTTCCTTACCCATTTTTCAATTGGGTTGTCTTTTTGTTGTTGAGTTGAAGGGATTCTTTATATATTTTGGATATTAGACCTTTATTAGACATATGATTTGTAAACTCATTCTGTAGGTTATCTTTTTACTTTCTTGATAATGTCATTTGATGGACAGAAATTTCTAATTTTGAGAAAGTCCAATTTATCTTTTTTTTTTTGAGACAGAGTCTCACTCTGTTGCCTGGGCTAGAGTGCCGTGACATCAGCCTAGCTCACAGCAACCTCAAACTCCTGGGCTCAAGCGATCCTCCTGCCTTAGCCTCCCGAGTAGCTGGGACTACAGGTGTACACCACCATGCCTGGCTAAAATTTATCTATTTTTTTGTTATTGCTCTTGACTTTGGGATCATATGTAAGAATCTATTGCTAACTCCAAAGTCAGGAAGATTTACCTGTCTACTTTCTTTTAAGAGTTTTGTAGTTTTAGCTTTTTAGGCCCTTTGATCCATTTTGAGTTCATTTTAATATATGGTGTGAGGTAGGGGTTCAACTTCATTCTTTTGCGTGTGGAGATATAGTTGTCCTAGCACCATTAGTTGAAAAGACTATTATTTCCTCATTTACTGATCTTGACACCCTTGTTGTAGTTAAATATTTTTAATTTTTTTAAAATTCATGCAACCACAAAGTTAGTAAAAAAACATAGTGTTCACTCAGTGTCATCATTTTACCAGACTTATTTCAGATTTTTTTAAGCAATTTTTTATTGATACATAATAGATATACATAGTTTTGGGGTCAGATTTTCTTTTTGTATTTTTTGAACCTTTGTCATACAGCATATATAGAGAAAAGGGTAAATGTCGTAAGTGTACAGCTCAGCCCTTTTTTACAAAGTTAACATACCCATGTAACCAAAATCCAGAACAAGGAGCAGAACCTCACCCACCCTCTCCCCAGCAACTCTCTGTGCCCCTTTTCTGGTCACACCAATTCTCCTCCCCTCAAGGATGTCACCACTGTCCTGATTTCTACCATTGATTGGTTTGGTCTCTTTTTGAACTTTATGTAAATGGAATCATACAATAGATACCCTTTTGTGCTTGGGTTCATTTGCTTAAATTTATATTTGTGAGATTCATTCATATTTTTGCATGTATTATGGTTTGAAATTTTTTTTTTAAAGAAATAAAGCATTTGGCCACAGCTTCAGCTGTTCCATCTAGATGCCTTTCCTTTCCATCCTGACTGTAACTTCATATTGCCTATAATCCTAGCACTATGGGAGGCCAAGGCAGGAGGACTGCTTGAGCTCAGGAGTTCGAGACTAGCCTGAGCAAGAGTGAGACCCTGTCTCTACCAAAAAGGAAGGAAAAAAACCCCAGCCAGGTGTTACGGCACACGTCTGCAGTCCCAGCAACCCAGGAGGCTGAGGCAGAAGGATCGCTTACAGCCAGGAGTTAGAGGTCGCAGTGAGCTACAATGACGCCACTGCACTCTACCTAGGGTGACAGAGTAAGACTCTGTCTCAAAAACAACAAAAAAAGGCAACTGAAGAAATTATTATAAACTCTAAAAGAAAAAATAGTTCATATTGTTAGGTATTTTAAGATACTATTATCAGACATTTTGGGGTATAAACTCTGGGAGGCTGAGGTGGGAGGATCGCTTGAGGTCAGGAGTTCGATTCCAGCCTGAGCGAGAGTGAGGCCCCGTCTCTACTAAAAATAGAAAAATTAGCCAGGAGTGGTGGCGCATGCCTGTAGTCCCAGCTACTCAGGAGGCTGAGGCAGGAGGATCACTTGAGCTTAGGAGTTTGAGGTTGCTGTGAGCTAGGCTGACGCCACGGCACTCTAGCCCAGGTGACAGAGCAAGATTCTTGTCTCAAAATAACAAACAGATAAAAAACAGCAGTAGGAACAACAGTGGCAGTAATGACAGGTAACGTTTAAGTAGTGCTTATCGTGTGCCGGAGGCTGTTCTAAGCGATGTTCATAAAGTGACTCATTTAATTCCGAGCATAACGCAGTGAGGTCAGCACCATTACGATTGACATTGGCCGGAGGAGAAAATCGAGGTGGTGAGAAGCTAAGAAACGTGCACAGGTTCACACAGCTGGAGGACGGTGGGGCTGGGGCTTGCCCCCGGCTGTCTGGCTCCCAGGTTCATGCTCCTTTCCGCAGGACCTGAGGGGTGGGGTGTGACGAGAGGGAGTTGGGAAGCCCACGGAGCACCTGGAGCCGTGTTCGGGTAGTATATTAATTATGCATCGCTGCGTAACAGGTGACCCCACATTTAATGGCTTCAAACAACAATACAGACTCCCCCTTATCTGCAGTTTCATGTTCCACAGTTTCAGTTACCTATGGTCAGCTGCGGTTCAAAAAAAGAATTAAAAGGACAAAAATGTTTAAATAATTAAAAATATTAAATATTAATTCCAGAAATAAACAATTCATAAGTTTCAAATTGCGTGCCGTCCCGAGTAGCGTGATGAGGCCTTGTGTTGTCCTGCTTTGTCTGCCCAGGATGCGAATCTTCCCTTTGTCCTGCGTCTCCACGCTGTCTACACTGCCGCCCGCTAGTCACTTAGCAGCTGTCTGGGGTATCGGATCAGCTGTCGTGGTATCACAGTGCTTGTGTTCAAGTAACCCTTATGTTACTTTTATTACAGTATATGGTAAAAATGCCCCAATTTAATAAGTTTCGGTGGTCAACCCCTAACGAACCCAAATTAAAAAAGAAACCTTAACAAAAAAAACGGGGGAAAAGGAAAAAAAAAAAGAAGGAAAAGGGTCCGGGCCCCCCCGCGGCCCAAGAAACCAAGGGGGGCCCAAAAAAGAAGGTTTGCCCGGGAATAAAAAATAACCGCCAAGCCCCGGGGGCCAAGAAACCGGGGGCAACCGGGCCGGGTCTTCTGGCTCAGGGATTGGCCAGGGCTGCTGCCGTCCAAGATGCTGCTGAGGCGGGGTCCGTGTGCGGACGGCAGCAGTGTTGTTGGCCAAGTTCAGCTCCCCGTGGGCTGTTGGACCAAGGGCCTTAGCTCTTTCCTGCCCGTGGGCCAGAGGCTGCTCGTGGTTCACTGCCGCGTGGGCCTGTCCGTAGGTCAGCTCGTGAGTACCGACCGGGAGGTCAGAACCGTTGTTTGCTGTCTTAGAGGCTGCCACCACCACAGCTGCTGTGTGGATGACCCAGTGACACACCCCACGAACGTGCTTTGGAACATGCCATGTTAAGGGATTTTTATGTCCAGATGCCAGTAGGTACTTTCAGACCCTGCGGGACGTGTTCCTTGGCAACTCTCGGTGGGGAGGGAGCGTTTTCTCCCACAGCTGTGCTCTTCCCACTGGCCCTCACCTGCCAGACCCATGGCTTCTAAGCCCTATCTCGGGTACACATCTGATGTCAAGAACATCGTGGTCTGGACGCAGCAGCATAAATCCTGTGGGTGGGTGTTTCCTGGGGAATGAGAGTCATTATCTCCTATGGAATGACTTTAGTTTTGTTCCAGCCTTTGTTTTTTTAAGTTCTAGGGCCGTGGGCTCTGCTGAGGTCATTTGAGGGTTGAATCATCAAGGAATAGTCCCCAGTATTGGCCATTCTAGAATAAGTGAGTGGTATGCACCGCTCTTCGTTTAGTCGCCAAGGACTCTAATTCCCAGACATGTGGCGTATTTTATGAGACGTGCCTCGTAGGTCTTCCCGCGGCAAGAAAGGGGACTCTGTGCCCAGAAGTATGGGATACTGTCAGATGAACAAGTCCGTTTTTATTTTAACAGAGCATGCCCCCATTCCCAGGTTATTAAAAAAAAAATCAACATTTATAGTGAAGGCATTTAGAACAAATAAATATGTAAGGAAAAGGGGATTCAAACTATTCACTTACATTTTCACCACCCAAAGACTCTCACTTTTTCAGAGGGTTTCCTTTCAGTCTTTTTTCTAAGCATAATGGAGTGTAAATATTCACACACATTTTCATAAAATTGGCATCAGAGGAGGCTTCCTAAACTTCCCCCCTCGTTGAACTGTGTGTATGTGATAAGAATTTTCTCCTGTCATGAAACTGTGACTTTAATGATTTTTAATGTGTGTATGGTGTTTTGCTGAAAGAACGTACCCTTACTTCATTAACTTTTCTTTTTTTGGTTGCTTAGGCTGTTTCTCATTTTTGGCTTAATAAAAAATAACACTGTGAGCATCCATCCTTGCGAGGCTGACTTTAATTAAATACGTATTGTTTTGCTAATTTTTTTCATTTTCCGATCTCTCTTTATCTTTGCTTTGGGTGGGTAGAAATGTGTGTCCAGGGCTTTTCCCCACTTTGCACAATCTCACTATACTCCTCTGGTGTGGTGTTTTTCATCCCAGAGGCATTTGAAAATATCACCACCCCGGGTGGGAGGCGCTGCTGGCCTCTAGTGCTCAGCATCCTGCAATGCACAGGACAAACTCCACAGCAAAGAATGACCCAGCCCCACCTGTTCCTTGCGCTGAGGCTGAGAGGCTGTTCGGATATGTTCCTATAACCTGCATGCTACATGCAGATGACTGACCCATTACCCGATGTGAGGAAGCTTTAAAACTTCTCTCTGGTTGGTTTATCGACTGCTGACAGTTAACAGTTTGGCGCTCTCCTGTCTGTTCCATTAAGCCTTTCAAGCATGCGTGAGCTCGTGCACGATACTTGGCAGCATCTGCCCGCAGCCTCCATAGTAAGGTCATTTCTCTGCATGAATCTCTGTCTCCTAGGCAAGGTTAGAGAAGCCAGTTTCTTTGGGTCTTGCGTGCTTGTCTTTCTGAAGGAAGCTTCCATCTCTGTTTTGTTTTCGTCGTGTACAAGATGTTCCAGTGCCTTCTCCCCCTTCCCATGTGGAACACTGAAGCTGGATCATTGGTGTAGATCATACCACTGTCGTCGTCGTACTAAAGGAGGCCTTTGAGCAGGTGCCAGACACAGGCCACAGTGGGAAAAGATGAGGCCCCGAAACAATGCCACACAGCCAGCCGATCTCTGTAAATTTATGGCGTAATCTCGCCATAATATGGGAACGAAATAAACTTGTGATGAACTCGGTGGGAGGAAATGACTCATGGGAGGAGATAGTTGATACAGTATTTATATTGGACAGAACTTCTAAACTTGCCTGAGCCCCTTCCAGAGTAAAGGAAGCTGGGTTAGGGGCGTGATTTCCTACGGCTGTGTCGTTAAGCACCATTTGGGCGAAGGGGAAAGGAAAAAAGCCCCTGATGCTTTCATGTTCAGACCCCACAGCTATCTTTGGCCTGAGTCCCCAGCAGCCAGAGCAGCAGCCCATCCGAGATAAACGTGCAGTTGGTTGTACGCCTTTAAAACTCGGCGCCTCGTCTTGGCCCGGGGCTGCTTTATGAGTCATCGTGTGGATCTAGAAGATTGTCGACGAGGGGAGGGCATTCGAAAGTTATTTTAAAAGAGGAAACCAGACCACTAATTTGGCTTTGGGTATTTATTTCATATTTAGCGAAGAAGTGAAAGGCATTTATTCTGGGCTTCCCACAGTGGCAAAATTTAGGCGCAGGGTTGATGGCCGGGCCCAGTCTCCTGGCCCATCTCTGCTGCCTCCCGCCTCAGAGACGCGAATCACGGAGGAGAGAATGGAGTGAGGCAGTGGTCCTCCCTCTTTCCTCAAAGCCGGATTTCTTAGTCTTGGCACTGTGGCTGAGTGGGGCTGGGGGAGTTCTTGGCCGTCCCGTGCACGACAGGGCGCTAAGATGCCAGCAGCACACACCCTGAGTGTGACAACCCAAAGTGTCTCCAGGCATCGCGTGATGTTCTCTGGGGGGCAGAGTTGCTGCCGTTGAGAATCCCAGGCCAAGCCTCGTTCTCCACGTACAATATGAGCGAGGGGCTGGAGAAGTTACTCCCGTCCCAGCAGGAATGACACCGCCGAGGGGCATGTTCCGTGTATCTGGCCGGGGGCTGCATGCCCTGCGTGAATTATCTCGTTTCAGCCACAGCCGTCTATGCGATGAGAATTCCTGTTTCACAGATGAGGAGACTGAGGTTTAGGGAGAAGAAGTCACTTGTCCAGCTGCACACAGCTAGGAGCTGGTGCCCGTGCTGCGGTGTTACCCACTTCCCAGAAAACTTGGTCAGGGCGAACTAAAATAATGGACAGCCTGAGCTCTAGGTACATCCGCAAATAGACAGGCATCTGGAATTCTCTAGATCACTGGTTCTCGACTGAGACAATTTGCCCCCAGGAGACATTTGCTAATGTCTGGAGACGTTTTGGTTGTCACCATGGGGGTGCTACTGGCATCGAGCGTGTCGAGGCTGGGGATGTCACTCAACGCCAGGAGAGCCCCACACAGAAAAGAACCATCTGGCCCCAAATGTTCATGGCGCTGAGGGTGAGAAACGCTGGTCTGGATCATGACCTGCCCTGCTCTTTCGGTGGACCACAATTTGGTGGTACTGGCAGTCCTATGTATAAATCTGAAATTACCTAATGATGTGGGAGTCCATGCCAGTTAGAATAGTAATAACCCTTCAAAACAAAGGGCTTCAGTCCTTTTGATCCTGCTTGCATCATTTAATAATTTTCCAAATGCTTCGAGTTTTCTTCTACTTTCTGCAGCCTTTGCCCCAAAGCAGGGCCCCTCTCACTTTTCATCTTCGGCCAAGTGAAAAAACATCAGTGTCTGTTAAGTGCACTTTGTCCACTGTCACGGGAAGCAGGCATTACAGAAGGAGGGTGTTCCTTTCAGTTATTCACGCTCTTGGCCTCTCTCTCTAGGATGAATCAACCGGAGAGATTACGTTCTACATGAAGGGAGCGGACGTTGTCATGGCCGGCATCGTGCAGTACAACGACTGGCTGGAGGAAGAGGTAAGCTTGACCAGGGCGTTAAAACCAGGCCTCAAAAGCATGTTCTGAAGGGGCAGTGCCTTGCGTGGTACAATAAGGCGGGCCTCCGTGTCTGTTACCTGCGGCTGTGTAACAAACCGCCCTGGTTAAAACAACACACGTTTCCTTCTGTGGGTCCTGTGGGTCAGGGGTGCGGGTGTGGCTCAGCTGGGTCCTCTGCGCCAGGGCCTCCCACAGGCTGCGGTCAAGGTGTCAGCCAGGGCTGCAGTCTCATCTCGAGACTCGACCGGGGCAGGATCCGCTTGCGAGCTCACTGGGTGGTCGTGGCAGCAGTCAGCTCCTTCTGGGCTGCTGGACGACCGCCTCAGGTTCTTGCTGGCTGTTGGCCAGAGGCCGCCCTCTCTCCCTTACCATGTGGGCCTCTCCGTGGGGCAGCCCGCAACCCGGTGACTGGCTTCATCAAAGTGAGCAGGTGAGGGAGCAGGAGAGGACACACAAGGCAGAGTCACTGTCTTTGGTAACCTGATCTCAGGCGTAATGTCCCCTCACTTTAGCCTCGTTGTATGTGCTAGGGACAAGTCACTAGGTCCTGCACACACTCCAGGAGCGGTGTGATCATACAAGGGCGTAAGTTCCAGGAGGTGGGGATCCTTTGGGGCCACGTCCGAGGCTGCCGACCCATCTGTGCTGGGACAGGTGGCCAGCAGCAGGAGGGAAGGAGCGCTCAGGTGTCTTGGGCCATTTTTGTACCATCTCTCAGCTCCAGGCAGGAAATGCACATTTTACTAACCAACGAACACCCTCCTTCTGCTCCTATGCCCCTTCCCATGCTAGGCGGTGTGAGAAGTGCACTTAACAGACACCGATGTTTTGGTAACATCGTAAGTAGTAATTTCCGGTGAGCACCCAAATGCCTGCAGGAGCCGGGCAGTTAACGGGGATGAATGGAACATCCTGGGTGCGTTTTTTTGACAGTTGCACTTGGCATGTTAGACACACTGGAATGTTCTTCACTTGACGACTACATTTCCTGGGAACACACAGTGGCAGCCACTCCTCAGCCATCACTGATGGTGGTTATTTGGGAAAGTGCACCTGGTTTTGGCAGGTGTTCAATTCTTCCACCGATTCAGCAGTCCAGATTTGCGTGTGAAGTCTTATTACAGTGTTGACTGAAATTCCAGCACATACACTGCCCGCGGGCTGCCCCTCTGCAACGCCCCTACGAAAGGTTCACTTCAGGGAAGATCGCTTAGGGGAAAGCGGTTTTCTGATTTGCCGTTTCCCCTGTCCCCTTGGGAGGGGGACATCCACATCAGTGTGCAGGCCCTCCCCGGGGAGAGCCAGGGTCCCTGGGGCCGAGCCCTCGGCACAGCTCTCACCGACCCCCGTCTGCTTTCCAGTGTGGAAACATGGCCCGCGAAGGGCTACGGGTGCTCGTGGTGGCAAAGAAGTCTCTGGCAGAGGAGCAGTATCAGGACTTCGAAGTAAGTCGTTTGGAGACCTCTCTGTTGTGTAGCCCTGCCCACCCCCCCAGTCCTGTCTCCTCCGGCGTCCCCCCTGCTCATTCTGGCGAGCTGTCCTGACGTCGTTTCTGAGCACACTGGGGTCACTGCTGTCGCAGGGCCTTCGCACTTGCTCTTCTGTCTGCCTGGAACTCTTCCTGCGTGGGGCTCCGTGGCCCACTCCCGCAGCCCAAACGCTGCCTCCCGCGAGAAGGCCTCCTGGACTGTCTCTCTAAGGCAGCCCACCTGTCACTCTCTGTCCCTCACCCCATTCAACTTCCTCACTGTGCTTATGATCCTCTTTAATGACCTTATTTATGTTTTTTAACATTCATCTTATCCATCTTTTTTCTGGGATCAAATCTTTTTGAGGGCAATGACTTTATGAGTCTGGTTTGCTCTGATATCCCTGAAGCTTAGGCTAGTCCTTGGCACATAGTACACCTGCAGGAAAACGGGCAGAAATCACCCTTTTGGAGCCCTAATTTCTTTCAGCTGTAAAACTGCTGGAGTTGAACTAGATTGTTGATTGTTCATGTCATCTTGTCCCACGGATCGTGTTCCCCAGGGGAGGGTCCTTGCCTTGTTCACTCTGTGTCCATGGTGCTCGGCGGAAAGCTGAGTGCAGGGGGGTGGGGCGAGGCCAGGGGACGGCTTCCTGGGCCCTTACCCTGCTGCCCCCAGAGAAACCCTGTAGGTCTGACTCTTTTATGTGTGTATGTCCTTAAGAGTTCTACCCCTGCTAAGTGCTACCTGACTTCAATTTTAAAAGAGTATGTTTTGAATAAGTTCATTAGGGGGTTTTAGGTTTTCTTCCAGGTTCTTGCTAACGTGATATAAAGAGGGAATAAACAGAGAGTTGGGTCTGTGGTCTTCAGAAGTGGGACTTTGTCTTTAGAAAACGCATGATCCGGAGTTTGGGTTACAGAGCGCGTGTCGTGTGTGGGAGGTTCCTCGTCTGTCTGCAGATCTTGGGTTGTGCTAGTCCTTGAGACAGTGCAGTGAGGTTGGCGCTGTCGTTGCCGTTTTGTGACTGGAAGCAAATGAGGCTCAGAGAAGTTAAGTGACCTGCCGAAAGTGTCGAAGCAGGTGAGTGCGGAGCGCAGGGTGGGACTCGGGTCCGTCCCTCTCTGTGTCTGCACTCACGACTTGGGAGCAGGCAGGGAGCCTGTTCCTCCCCGTGGGGTCCCAGCCCACCCGCCTGTGGTGGGATCAGGCACGACCGACCGTTCCACTCTCGGCACTGGTGGGTCAGCCTGGCCCCTCCCACCCTAAGCGGTGACCGCGTCTGCTGCTGTGTCCCAGGCGCGCTACGTGCAGGCCAAGCTGAGCGTGCACGACCGCTCCCTCAAAGTGGCCACGGTGATCGAGAGCCTGGAGATGGAGATGGAGCTGCTGTGCCTGACGGGCGTGGAGGACCAGCTGCAGGCGGACGTGCGGCCCACCCTGGAGACCCTGAGGAACGCCGGCATCAAGGTAGGGCGCCCGCCAGCGACCTGGCTGCTGCGTGGGAGGGCCCCGAGCCCGAGAGTAGTCACCCCTCAGCAGAGTAGAGAGATGAGGGGGAGAGCGTGCAGGGGTAAGAGAAGAAGCCGGGAGCGCCCTCTCTACGATGGCCACGGCTGTGTCCCCTGCCCTCCAGCGCTGACTTTGGGAGACAGTGTGCGTGGCGTTCGCTTTTACCATGCGGGGGCCTCCCCCGATCACGCCGGGCTCCCCGTCGCTCAGTGCCGAGCAGTGTCCAGGGTGCGCGACCAGCAGGCTGGCCTGTCGGTATGGCTGAGCGACCGACCGACTTACCATCCAGCAGAGTGACCGTCGGCGCCGACAACTGTCGTTTTTATGTTTTATACTCTTCTGTTCGGGGCCCAATAAGTATGTTCAGTGGTAGAATCCGGAGAGGCCAGTAGGGAGTGTCGGGGACCCGGGTTCTCAGTGAGCCCCAGTGGGGTCCTAGCAGACCCTCGACCGGGGCGCTCGAGGACACGTGTGTTCGCCACCAGCCTCTGCTCACGGGCAGCAGCTCTGCTGCGTCCTGGGGGCTCCCTCTCGGGAGGACCACATGCGGAGGACGGCTGAGACACCAGGCCACATTCAGGCCCGCTGGCCACTCACACGCATGTGTCCGTGTTTCCTTGTGAACCACATTCTGTCACACACCTTTGGCCCACAGGTTTAGTTCATCCCAAGGAAATTGCCAGCGAGATCCCGTGTTTGGAAGTCTGGTGGCCGGAGGCCCGTTCCTGCCTCACTGTGGTGTTTAAAGCCGGACACCGGCGATGTCTGAGACTTCTCCTCTGGGAGTTTTGAGATTCCATCTTATGCTCTCAGCTTCACCCCCGGGAGTTTCCTCCTCCTCAAGACTGTTTTATTCCAAAGACGAGATTTATTCGCCTGGTGGTCCCCACCTGTCTTTCTGGTTTCCCCTTTTAGACGCGAAGGGGAGGGGAGTGAGGTCTGCGGCGTGATCTCTCACAGGAAACTTTCCCCTTCAGCACCTTTTCCAGGTACAGAAACCGAGTGAGGCAGCTACGGCTCCAGCTTCCCTTAGCGCCTCCTGTCGTCCCAGCAAGGCCGTTAGCCACGGGCGCACCCGATGGTTCTCTCCATGGTTTTCTAGAACTTGAGCCCCCAGCGCCTTCCCCAGTATCTTTTCTCTACATCAAACCCTGAAAACGACACTAAACTAGGACCACTTAAATGAATACTGTTTTCAGGCCGGAAGGGATATCGAGGGTCAACCCCAGAGGGACAGGCCACAGGCATAGCCCCCAGGAGTGCCCAGTGCCTCCCTTCTGTCCTCTGTCTGCCTGGGTCCCCATCCTGCCCTCTGTGACCCTTGGCAAGTGACTCAGCCTCTCTGTGCTTCTGTTTCCCGGTCTCAGGAAGTTAGCGTGAGGGTAAAACGCAGCTCAGCCTGGGTGCCCGGCGCCTCGGGAACGTTTTCTTTCCTGTAACCCCCCCCCATCGCCCCTCACCATCCAGATTTCCTTCGTCCAATAACCCCAAGACTTCTCTCTGCTGGGAGCAAAGAGAACAGAAGGGTTAATGAGGTAAAACAGAGCAGGAGGCACATTCATGTGGACTCTGAAGACCCGGACTCTGGCCTGGTTAGGACAAGAGGTCGCTGTGTGGCTTTGGGGAAGTCACCTACCCTCTCTGAGCCCACGGCAGTGAAACGCGGAGTGAGCAGATACAAGGCGTGGAAGAGCCTGGTTCAGTTACCGTCGGTGTGTTAGAGGCAGAGTTAAACCCCGGGAGAGTCTGTCACGGGCACCCGACCACGTAGAAAGTCTGCAGTGTCATAAATCAGTGCTTCCTGTAGGACACGGAGGAGACCTCGCATTCATACAGCCTTGCCCTTCTTTTACAGTGTTCATGTCTTTGAGAAAAATCCCCAGAAGGAGGATTATGAGGTCCAAAGACCGAGCTTCACAAGCCTCCCGTAGCTCGTGGAGAGAAGCTCGTTCTAAAAGCGTCCCGGCAGCTTTTGCTGCCACCAGCCGTGGTTGGTCAGGGCCCCGAAGCCCTTCGCTGAGAACGTTCCCTGTGGTACACTGGGGACACCATGAGTCTCGAGGAGGTGAACGGAACGTATCAAGTTCAGCTCAGTGTTCTTGGAAACTCAGCTGACGCAGACGACAGGCGGCCTCAGAAACTAACCAACAGGACCTCTCTTGTGCCGTAATTTCAGGTTTGGATGCTGACAGGGGACAAGCTGGAGACGGCGACATGCACAGCGAAGAATGCACATCTGGTGACCAGAAACCAGGACATCCACATTTTCCGGCTGGTAAAGCGTTCTCCGTGTCGGGGCTGCGTGGGCGTGATGCCTCGGTTTGTCCCGTGACCGCATAACCTTGAGCAGGCCCCTGAAGAGGGAAGGGGTGGCGCGTGGCGGGGGCAGCAGCCTAGGCCACCGTGGGTTTGGGCAGGATTACCAGGTGCTGGCTGAGGAATCCCTGCCAGCAGTGGTTTGGGAGCACCGCATTCCAGCCCTGTGCTGATGCTGGCTCTTACCCTTTTCGGGGGACGTGGTCCCCTTTGCAAAGCTGATGAGGCTTAGACACCGCCCTCGGAAAGAGGCAAATCAGCTCCAACATATGAAATTGCGCATATGATTCCCGGGACTTTGCTGAACCCCCAAAGGCCAGATTTCTTTCTTGGATAAGAAAGAAATCTCAGATCACAGATGCTGGCCTGCCTGTCCTCCGAAGGGTCGCGTTTAGGAACACCAGGGAGCCCTTTGGTGGGGGAGAATGGTGGCAGATGAGGAACTGCCTGCCCTGGTAGCAGGCACGGACCACAGTGCCACATCAGAGCTGCTCCCAGCGGGGACCGTCCTGTGCTTCATTGCGTGAGGGACGTGAGGGCCGCTAGGTCCCCTTTGGGGCAGGATGTAGCAGTCCCACTATCCAAAATCAGAGCCACGATGTCAGACAACTGGAGGGACTCCAGATGTTTCGGGGTCCCCCTTCACCCCTGCCTTTGGTCCATGGCGCACAGAAGCTTCGGGAAATCCAGCGATTTTGGAACAGCAGTGTTGTGCAGAGGCAGATACGTCGATGGTCAGCATCCACAGATTCTTTGTGAATTCGCCTGCTCCCTGAAACTTATCTGTGACCCCGAAGTCGGTACTCACAGCGTTTCACGGCCGCTTGCAGACAGACGTAGAGTGGAGAAAAATGTGGGTCGCCCGCCACACACGTTCCCAGCTGAGGCTGAACAGGGCGGTGCTCCACCCTCTCGTCTCAGCTCTTGTCCTGGGCACAAGTGTCCTCTTTCTAGTTCATTTAAGTATCATATTTTTCACATTTTTGTGCTTTTTGTTGGCAGTTTGCTGTTGTAAATGGCCCCCAGCACAGTGCTAAAGTGCTGTCTAGTGTTCCTAAGCCGAGAAGGCTGTGATGCTCCTGCTGGAGAAACACGTGCCTTAGATGCGCTTCCTTCAGGCAGGAGTCACAGTGGTTAGCCAGGAGTGCCATGTTGATCAATCGAGGTGTCGCTAAACAGGAACACAAATAAAACAAGGTTTTGTGTTGGTGAAAATGCTGTGACCAGAGGCTTGCAGGAACCTAACCCTCTATTTCCCCTACAGGCAGTGGTTCGGTATTTGCTAATTCAGTATTTGCGGTGACTTCATAGAACATAGCTGCCACGTATAATGAGAATTGACTGTATATTCTGGAACTCAGGGGTTGCAGACTATGGCCTGTGCAGTAGCCACCTGATTTTGTAAACAACAAGTGCTTTGATTGGAATGTAGATGTGCCCACTGGTTTACATATCATGTACGGCTGTTTCTGAACTACAACAGAGTCGAGGAGTTGTGGTCGAGACCGTAGGGCCACAGAGGCTGCAGTGTTTGACATCTGGTCATTTACAGAAAAAGCGGGCGCCCCACGAGGCGCCTGGCTTTGAGCACCGGCTCTGCAGTGTGCCAGCTACGTTACTTGGGCAGGATAATGCATCTCGCCACCCTTCAGTTTCCTGAAGTGGAAAACAGAGCTGTTGTCATCACGCACCTCTTAGAGCCCTTGTGAGGAATAAATGAGGACAAGCCATGAAAAGCGCCCAGCACCGTGCCTGGCACACAGTGAAAGTGCAGTCGCTTTTAGTCCTGGGGACGTGGAGGGTGATGGCTGGTACACAGGCTCTCCCGATTCCCGCGGAATCGTAACCACCAGGGTTTCGTTTGGGTCTGGGGGTGGGGGACGGGGAGGGGCCCTTGGCCGTACGCTGGCTCCGGGAAGCTGCTGTTATTGTTCTTTCGTCTCCAGAGAGCAATGCCTTCTCATCTCTCCATTCCCTTCTAGGTGACCAACCGTGGGGAGGCCCACCTCGAGCTGAACGCTTTCCGCAGGAAGCACGACTGCGCCCTGGTCATCTCTGGAGACTCCCTGGAGGTGAGCTCGGGGACCCCCAGAGAGCAGGCTCCTCCCAAGAGCCTGGGCCTCTTCCTGCCGCAGCAGGCTAGGAGGTGACCTTGGCTGACCCCTCCCTCCACGCCCTCCAGGTCTGCCTCAAGTTCTACGAGTACGAGTTCATGGAGCTGGCCTGCCAGTGCCCGGCCGTGGTCTGCTGCCGCTGCGCCCCGACCCAGAAGGCCCAGATCGTGCGCCTGCTGCAGGAGCGCACCGGGAAGCTCACCTGTGCAGTAGGTAGGCACTGCCCGGGCCCGGACCACTGGCCCTGGCCTCCCGGTGCACTGGCGTCACCTTCTGGAAGGCGAAATGGACTCTGCTGCTGTGTTCTTCAAATTCTCCAGACTTTGCGCAGGTCACGATTTTTTCCCTCCCCACAGACTTTGCCTCTCTTTTTGTTATTATTTTTAATATTTCCCTTGGAGAGACACTAGATAAGCATATCCCAGGGCCTCTCCTCCTTTGCTAGTGACACAAGAACACAGCATTCCAGAAGGGTGGCGACCACATGCTGAGGAGTTGGGTCTGGGTTCAAATCTGTCTGCTGCATTTTACCAGCTGGGTGCCCGAGGCAGCTTCCTTCACCCATCTGAGCCTCGGTTTGCTCATCAGTAGGATGGGGATAATAACAGTGGTTTCCTCAAATGGTACTTGCAAGGATGAAAGTCACATTTCAAAAGCGCTTGCCCCAGTGTGTGGTCAGTGTTCAACGTGAGCAACGCTAGTTGTCGCCGACGGTGATGTCGCGCAGCACAGCTGCCTCAGGGGAAGGCAGGTGGTGGTTGCAGATGTCCACGTGGGTGCAGCCCACTGCCCCTGCTCCGTGCCGGGACCCTGGGCGCGTCACCTGGTCTCTCTGACGCTCGGCAAAATAGCGCCTCTAAACTAGGATCGCGATGGCGCGGGTGATTAGAGAGATTACACGGAGCAGGGCAGGCAAGGCGTTTATACCAGGCACTCCGTGAGAGGCAGACATGTTTTATTGTTTAAGGTAAACCTGAGATACGGGGGTCATCTTTTCTCTCTGGTCTGTGTGGCCCACAGGCGACGGTGGCAATGACGTCAGCATGATCCAGGAGTCCGACTGTGGAGTCGGGGTGGAAGGAAAGGTGAGCGCGTTTCCCTCTGCTCCGAGCCACGAGCTGGAGTGTTTTACTTGTGTTCTTTCCCCTGCAAGACACGGCTTTGATGCTTTTGGAGATTCTGGGTAAGAATTGTAAAATGCAAGGAACTGTGTATCACAATTACCTGGAAGTCAGAGATTCATACCGCCATATCTTATAGACAGATAATTGCTGGCTTTTTGCTTGCCAAAACCTAAATTAAAAAAAAAAGTTTTTCTATATTCTTAGGGTACCATGAAAGTATTTCAACTTTTCCGTGGTCATCAGCACCGTCAGTAAAAGCATCAGTTACCGTGCTGTGCGCTGATCTCTTGGGGGCTGTAGAAGAATGGGGCATGGTTTGCTTCTCGCTAAAAGGCCTCTTTGGCTATAATTTTTAAAAGCTTTTGTAGGCTGGGCTCGGTGACTCCCGCCTGTGATCCTAGCATTCTGGGAGGCCGAGGCGGGAGGATGGCTTGAGCTCAGGAGTTCAAGACCAGCCTGAGCAAGAACCAGACCCTGTAGCTAAAAACAATAAAGAAAGAAAGGAGAGAGAGAGAGAGAGAGAGAGAGAGAAAGAAAGAAAGAGTTTTTGTGCTATGAAATAATTTTTCTGTCTTTCCTTCCTTGTCCATTGTGTGCTTGCCTCTTATAATTTACTCTGCCCTTTGTGAGCTCTAAGTGACTACCAGCAAGAAGATTGGTCACCATGTTTGTTAGAACTATGTGTAAAATAAGAATACCAAAGCCCTGAGGGAAGACTAGAAATGCCCTCCTCAGCGTTTTGTTGCGTATCTTCATGAATTTGGCTAACCTCTAGGCCTTTTTTTTCCTTTCCTACCCTGTCTGGTTCTCTGGTTCTCAGCCACATGACAATTATTTGAAGTTGCAGAGATAAATGATTCTTAACTTTGTTGGAAATCAGTATAGGTTCCCTGGATGTAGATTTTAAGAAGCACTCTTGCGTTTAATAGAATTCTTTCCCAGTTCCTGTATAGCACTAAAACATTTCCTTTTCTATTAAAAAAATTATATTCTGATTCCTTTGTTTTTTGGAGTGTAAAGTCATAAGCACTCCCTACAAAAAATTAAAACAATTTAGAAATAAAGTGCATCCTTGCTTTTAGATAGTTACCTTAAACTAGTGACATTGGTTATTCCTCCAAAATTTTTACCATGTGTATGTTATTGGTTATGAGGATGTATATATTTGTCATATATACACATAACTTACACATGTATATATTATTTTCATGTGTAATTTTAAATTAAAAATATACTGTGCATTTTGTTAGGCAGCTTGCTTAAATCTGCTCTGTGATTTCTTTCTACATCAGAGCATGCAGAACCCTCACTTCTTCCCCTCCCTGTACAATTTTATTTTGAAAAATGCATCCCTTCAGAAAAGTTGAAATAGAACAAGGAATATCCATCTACCCTTCACTTCGATTTGCCAGTTGTTAACATTTGCCAGGTTCTTTCTCTCTCTCTCTGAATCAGCTGATTGTAAATTGCACATAATAATATGTTACCCCTACATTCTTCAGTGTAATCCCTTGAGAACAAGGACATTCTCCTATGTGAGCAAAATAACATTGTCACCCCCCAAAGGTAACATCGATGTAATGATACTATGTAATATTCGTAGTCACATTTCCCCAATTGTTCTCAAAATATTTTCAAAGCTTAAAAAAAATAAAAAAGCTCCAGGAACCAATAAGTATCATAAATTAAATTTATTAACATGTCTTTCTGTCTCTTTAATCTTCTTTAATGTAGACCACTTTTCTCCATCTTTTTTGTTTTTGACGGAGGGGTGTTTTTTGTAACAATGGTATTTTTAAGGCACTCAGGACAGCTGTAGGGTTTCCTACGGTGTCTGTTGGTTGGATTGATTTGGTTCAGAGTCTGGTTTTGGTGTGAGTAGCACATCCGGAATCGCCACCATCTGACTGTCCCATTATTGGCCATTACCTACCTTTTAAAATGGGCAACTTCCATTATCTGGTTGCGCTGTGAGTTATTTCCACTTCTGTAAATGTGCAGAGCTGTAGGTCAGGAATATCCCATCTCATATCATTAGTAGCATCAGGTTTTCACCTCATGTTTAACTCTTAAGGGAACCAAATGTTATAAAAACACCTATCTCTGAGTGACTCTTTGTCATTGTGGGGTGAGCTGAACCCCCAAGGGTTAATATTAGATCCACTTGACCTCCAAATGATAACTACCTGTGATCCAGAATGTTTTTTTATTTAAATAAATTCCTCTTTTAAATCAGATTTAGACTGGGACCACCAACTGAGTATAGCTTGAAACCAAAGAATCTCTTCATTGATGTTCTTCAAAGATCTCCTTACGTCGTCTTGCTTTTTCAATTAGAAAAAAATGTGTTTGTCATGACCTCTCGTGCTTCTGACCGTGCCCAATTTCACTGGATTTTAGGAAGGAAAACAGGCTTCCCTGGCTGCAGACTTCTCCATCACTCAGTTTAAGCACCTCGGCCGCTTGCTCATGGTGCATGGCCGCAACAGCTACAAGCGGTCAGCCGCCCTCAGCCAGTTCGTGATTCACAGGAGCCTGTGCATCAGCACCATGCAGGTGGGTGGGCAGCTGTTACCTTTGACAGGGGCACGTGGCTATGCCATGCAAGGGGGTGGGCAGCTGGCCCCTTTGCTCAGGTGCTTATGGCTATGTGGTTCCCATGGGAAACGCCAGGGAATTAGACTATGCTTTGGAGCTGTTACCCTTCCAGGCCAGTTTATGTCCCCTGCCTGGCCACGTTTCAGCTGATAGACCTGGGGCAAGTCCCTGAAGCTCCTGGTGCTCTAGAGTCATCCTCTGTTAAGCAGTGCTGGCCAGTCCTGCCTGTGGCGTGGGTGTGAGCATTAGTGGTGGTGCCATCCAGTGTTGGCATGGAGTGGGGGGAGTGCAAATGACAAGTTATAATTGGGGGTGAGTTGTTATCATTGGTTTGCCAGAGCGAAAGGTGCAGAGTTAAACAATGAATGCCGATTCCAGCCCTGATTTTTTGCATGCAGAGGCACAGGCCAACAGAGAACAATCGCGAAAGAAGCATAGCTCACTTTTCTTGAGTGTGTCTTGTACCCTGGGCCTCAGGCTGAGTGTTCACAGTGCAGTGTCTCATATAGTCCTCACAACACCCTAAGCCCATTTTACAGATGGGGAGGCTGAGGCTAAGTAAGGTGAGGAGTTTGTGCAGTGTCCTGCACGGATTTAGTCTGTTCAGGCAGGTGGATCCCGGAACACGTGCTTGTGATCAAAGTCTCCTCCTTGGTATACTCAATACGGAGGGACTGAGGCCACCTCTACTTGCAGGGGGTCAGTGTGATACATGGCACAGAGGTTATCTTGGCATCATGGTTCTGTGTCCCAGCGGAGCCTGGCAGGGAGTCGAGCTTAGTTATCATGACTGCTAATACCCTTGGGGTTCACCTCTTGCTCCCACCTTGCTTTTACACAAAAGGATTTTTGTGTAAAATCTGCCACCAGGCTGTAGCAATTAGGTGTGTGCCAGGAATGAGGCCAAAAGGAGGGAAAGACAACGTTTTGGGCATTGAAAAGCCACTTTTCCTTCCAGCATTGGGTTGAAAATGCTCCCAGTGAAGTGGAGAGAACATAGGAGCAGTAGATCCTGGAACCACGTCTCTTCCTGACCATACCACTAAGTACCTGTGAGACCCTGAGCAAGTCAGTTTACTGCTCTAGGCCTCAGCCTTTCCACCTGTAGGATGGGAATAAGATCCTCCTTGTCCTCAGACAGGGGTACATTGAATAACAGAATTATTTAAGGCTTCAGTGCGAAGACATCCTCACTGTTATTAATAGAAGGGAAACAGGATACTATATAAACGTCAGGTGATATTTTAATTTGTAGGAAAGGTGTTCAATCACACGCAAGGCAGAATGAGTCAGGCGGTGCTGGTTTACGTACACGAGAATTCACCCGCACTGGCCTCATCCAGGCTTTTAGGGGGTGATCTTATGTTTTAAATATCTATTGCGTTTGTGAGTGGAGGAGCCTTAAAGTGATTTTCATCAAAGCGATCTAAACCCAAACAGCTGGTGTGGTTCACCAGACCACATCTGTATTTTTAATTTATGTTAACTCATCAATCGAACCGGATAATGCTGTGGTTTTAATCACGGGGAGATTAATCAGCCCATCTCTGGGCACACACACAAAAGCTGACCGGGATGAACTGACTTCTGCAATGACTGGATGTTACCATTAGCATCGATGCAGGAAAAAAAAAAAAATTTCCAGGATGGGACACTGTTCTTTGTGCTACAGAAAATGCCTTTGACCCCTGTCCACTGTGCTGAACGTGGCTGCCTGGGAGCAAGTCCCCGTTAGAATTGCACCTGGACGTTGGTCTCCGAGAGACATGGACACAGTGTTTTTATTTTCCCCAGAATGCTCTTGTCAAAGTGAAGGCTTTATGGTCTGCACGGCCCTGTTGGAGGAAGGGGCTCTTGATGCTGATTTGCAAAATAAACACTAGATCCTTGACATTTCTATGAACATCCTTCCTGTGCAGCGGCGCAGCCTGGGTGAGAAGTCATTCGAAAGGTGGCTTTCCCGGCACTGTGATTCTGAAAGCATGACCTGGGGCTCCGCGTGGCCACGGTGCTCAGTGGCACTTGTGTCCTGAGCTCTGTGCCAAGCGAGCACGTGTTCTTCACGGGAGACGGCCCTGGTTAGACGCTGTTTCTGATTACTAGGGTGGCTTGGCCTTTCTCTCAGTGTGTAGTTTTTAAAAAGCCTTCGGGCAACACTGTTCCTGTCCTTCCTTTGGTTTTATGCTAATGGAAATGGGCCCGAAGACCCCTCGCTTCTGCTAGCCTGTAGCTGCCCAGAGAAGGCGCGGAGAACACCGCGCCTGACTCCGTCTCCCCAGCCGTTCTTCGCTGCCCGTAGCTCCCATCTTCCAGATCAGGAAGCAGACGTTCCTGTGAGGGTTTGTAAACGTCTTCGCTGCCCTTCTCTAACTGCGAGAGTAATCCGTCATGTTCTCTTTTTAAAAATTTGCAAAAATACTAAAATGTGTAGTGTAAGAAGCGAAGCCTTCTCTGCCTCCCCGGCCTCCACGGAAACTGGCGTAGAGACTTCGAGGCTCTTTTCCATGTCGGTTTTCACACGCGTGCCAGCTCGTTGTCGGCATGCGTGCCTGGAGGGCAGGGACTCTGAGCCGTTTAGGAGCGTGGGCTCTGGGGACAGCGCCAGGCTTGAGTCCCACAGGGATGTGACCTCAGTTTCCCCGTCTCTAAAATGTGGGTGACAGTAGGACTCGAACTCGTGGGTTGCTCTGGAGATCAGCTGCGCTTATGTGTCTGGGTCCGGCACATGGAACTTAACACGTTTACAAAGGGGCTGAGAGTGGGCTCTGGAGCTAGATTACTGGGTGTGACTCCTGGCTTTGTTGCTTGTAAGCTGTGTGGTCTCGGGCAAGCCACTTAGCCTCTCTGAGCCTCACTTTCCTCATCTGTATAATGGGGATGATGATAACAGTACCTACGTTGTAGGGTCACTGTGAGAATTAAATGGGCTACTACACATAAAGAACTTCCAGCAGTGCCCGTGAGCAGTAAGTGCCGTATAAGTGTCAGGTGCTATTTTTATTTTATAAACATAAGGGCTTTTGTCATGGTTTTTGGTGACGTCCTCCTTTCTCCTTGGCACAGGCTGTCTTTTCCTCCGTGTTTTACTTTGCCTCCGTCCCTCTCTATCAAGGATTCCTCATCATTGGGTAAGGAAATCCAGGCAAGGTATTAATTTTTTATGAAACCTCCTTAAAATGCCACAGAAAAGAGAAGAAACATCGTGTAGAGGCTCCCAGGTCCCCAGGGCCCCTTGGACTCCCCGCCCCAGTAAAGGCAGGCCCAGCAATGTGGTTTAGAACCTCCTCGAGTTAATGAGGTTTCGAGCTGCTAAGCCCTTAACCAGATTGAAGAAGCAAGAGTCTGATGGGCTTGTGGCCCGTAGCATTTTGCCGTTTGTGCTCGGCAATGAAAAAACACTCACTCCAGAGAGCGCAAGGTCACCGCCGCTGGAGGAGAGCAAGGCGGGGGGTTCACAGACTCGGCGATTTCACTGGGGTGTAGGAAGAGTGAGAGGATCTGAAAGGTGCCCTCCTGGCTGGAGCTGGCCCACGGAAGTCCTGCCGGTGGAGTGCAAGGAGGGCCGGGGCCCGCGATGTGCATGGACAGAGCTTGCCCTCGGGGTGCCACAGTGTCAGAGAGGGTGTCCCTTGGGCATTTGCTGCCATCACACCCACCCCCATTCCTGACCTGGAACTTCACACTGTTCCCTTTGCCCTTTTTATAAAAAGTGCTCAGTCTTTGAATCCCCTGGGCAGGGGGAGTTTGGTTACCAAATGCCCAGATGCAGACGCACGCTGCTGGGCCCGCACCTGGTTAGGAGGAGATAGAAGGCACGGGAAGCCCAGCTGGGCTCAGGGGAGTCTCGCAAAGTCCACTTTCCATCTACTGTGTTTGGCCGCTTAGTCCAGCCTGAGAGTAGGCACTGCAGTTCTGCCTGCTGCTAATTGGAAAAGTGGACTGTCCTTTTTTGGGTCCTGAAAGAGTAAAAGAATGTGCCAGAATATAATTAGGGAGTCCCCGAGCTACACTTCATACCACCTTCCATGGTGTGGCCTTGTCCTCCCTGCGGGTCCTCATTTCCTCCTCTCTCACCCTCAGCCCCAGCCACGCTGGCCTCCTGCTCTTCCTCAGACGTGACAGCCACACCCCACCACAGGGCCTTTGCACTGGCTGCTGCTTCTGCCTGCAGCGTTCTTCTTCCCAGTGTTGGCTCGGCTGCCCTTCACATCTCGTGGGTGTTTACTCAAATGTCCTATCTCAGCCGGGTGCGGTAGCGCACACCTGTAGTCCCAGCTACTTGGGAGGCTGAGGCAGGAGGATCGCTTGAGCCCAGGAGTTCGAGGCTATAGTGTGCTGTGATCGCACCTGTGAATACCCCTGCACTCCAGCCTGGGCAATGTAGTGAGACCTCATCTCTAAAAAGAAAAATATGTCTTGTTCTTTGGCCACCCTCTCTAAAATCATACCCCTACCCCCCGCACATACACGCATGCGCACACCCGTCTTACTGCCTCTTCCCCATTATGTTTTTCTCCATAGCACTTACCCTAACGCACGCAGAGTTTACTTAATTTATTTGTTTACGGACTCAGTACTAAAGCTCTCAAGGGCAGACGCTCTATCCTTTTTTCATCCTGAGTCTGGTGCTTAGAGCCGGCCCTGGCACACAAGAGGCGCACAATAAATAGTCACCGGAGGAAGGAATGGACTGGGCTCCAGAGGCTGGCGCAGAGAGTTGCTCTCCTTCCACTGGCTGGACTTACCCAGGCTGTCTTCTCTCCAGGTACTCCACGATTTATACCATGTTTCCTGTATTTTCTCTGGTCCTGGACAAAGACGTGAAGTCGGAAGTGGCCATGCTGTACCCTGAGCTCTACAAGGATCTCCTCAAGGTCGCTAGCTCCTCCGTCCTTCTCTCCTTCCCTCCTTCCCTCCTTCCTCTCCTCCTCTCTCCTTCCCTCCCTGCCTCCTTTTTTCTGTGGAATGTGTTTCACACAGAACCTCCACATCTGATCCAAGCACTTGAACCGGCAGCTTTCTTCCTTTTGCGGGGAAGGCGTGGGCGTTTACATGTTTTCTCAAGACAGTGCTATACGCGCTGTCGTAAAGACTGTGACACAGTAATCTGTAAACCGAAAACAAACCAACTCTTGACTTTTAAAAAGGCTCCTCCCGAAAGTTCCGTTCTGCAGCCGTAACTTGTGTTTGCTCCTAGAGATGTTCTTGTGTTCACTTCCAGAAAAGCGTGTGTATGTGTGTGCAGGTGTGCAGTTTTGTTTGTTGTCAAGGGTTTTTACTAACGGCCAGATTGATTCCCATCCAGTGTCAGTTCTCTTTTAAAAAAACGTAATTCCTCTCATGTGTTCACACGTGTGTATCAAGCCACTTCTCCGATGGAGACAGGCAGGTCCTCATCTGGTTAGAGGAAAGGTGATGTGAGTGAGTCACCATGGGAACCCACTCTAATCTTTCCCCGTCTCTCGTGTAGGGACGACCGCTGTCCTACAAGACGTTCTTGATATGGGTTCTGATTAGCATCTATCAAGGTAAGGATGGGGGCCCCCCGTTTGTCTTGTGTTCTGGTGTTGACCCAATCGCGTCCCTTTCCTGCCTGTAGACATGAAGAGGAGGACCTGGAGCCTCTAACAGCAGAGAGCAGCGTGACAGCGTGTCCCGCGCAGACCCTGCAAACGTTAAGCCCAGGCAGATCGGCAGTGTGCAGAGCTTAATGTGTCCGCTCAGTGACGTAGCAAAGTCAGAGAAAATACAACTAATAATCATAGCCTGCCAGGGTGTTATGTCACAGAAAGGGGTGTTACATCGTAGAAAGTGCTTACTTTTTGGGATATTCTGATACCTTTTCTGAGAGGTCAAATCGTAGCTTTTGAAAAACGTATATTCAGTGGCCTCCAGAGAGGGTCTCACACACCGTAGGGGCTTGTAAGATGACCTGTTGGAGTGTCAGAAGAATATAGCAAAACTTCTATTTGTATTTCCCTCACTCTTTTTAGAATTTCCACTTTTACGTGTGATTTGTAATGCATGGAATATATTTGTGCAGAGGTCCTAGTATCTCTGTATATGTGGACAGATGCCCATGTGTGACTTACTAATAATCCCATATAGAGTTTATTCTAAATGTTTGTTACTGATGGGCTGTGCCATCAAAATGTTTACAGCACA